ATACTGTTATCTAGGAATCGAAATACACAAATCCGGCTCATTCACAAATGCACGAACTGAGCTCAAAAAGAAAGCCATGCGTGCACTTTATGGCATGAAAAGCTCAGTAAACAAATCCAAATTATCATTCCGCTCTCAAACAACACTCTTTGATGGTCTTATTAAACCTATCGTTCTTTACGGAGCGCCTATTTACACACCTAATATGGCTATCATAAAACACATCTCAAAACAAGTCGATCTCAATATGGATCCCGACACAAAAACAAAATTTCACACTAGTATCCTCAAGAAAATTAGCCTTCTGAACAGCGAAAAAGTTCACCTTCACTTTCTTAAATGGTCACTGGGTGTAAACCGTAAAGCCAGCAACGCAGGCGTCTGGGGTGAGTCAGGCCGCTACCCATTGATCTATGAATGCATTAACCTTACTCTCAAATATAGCCAACGCTTGAAAAATCTCAAAGATAACTCCCTTGTCTCATTAGCCTTCAAGGAACAGATGAACATGAAATTAGACTGGTACAGAGGTCTGGAGCCTGTCCTCGCGCTAGACCCATGTTTCTCTACCGATCATGTCACAGCCTACCGCACACTCAAAAACAATCACTCCAAGTTAATTTCTGAAAGAAACCCGAATATCACAAAACCACCAAAAGAGGACTTTCTTATTCACAACGGTTTCAAGAAACGAATTCCTCCGCAATCAACACAACCCATCGGGAGTAAAATATTCACACCCCACGTCATTACTAAAAGTTTGAAATGTAGCTTTAGAGAATATTGGGGGTCCTGTATCAACACTTCTCGGAAATTAGAATTTTATCGTGACCTAAAATCCAAATTCAACAAAGAATATTACCTAGACAGTGTCATTAAATATGCCGACCGTGCTAATATCACAAGACTACGGATCAGTGCACATCGACTCGAAATTGAACTTGGCCGATATAATCAAACTCCTCGTGACGAGCGAATATGCTCTTGGTGCAATATAGTCTTAGGTTCTGGTATTATTGAGAGTGAAGATCACTTCCTTAACCATTGTGATCTTAACGCCGCATCAAGGCGAAAAGTCCTAGACAAGATCCAGTCAATCATATCAAATCCAAACAAACCATCTGCGACATCTTATCCTGTTCACGCTGTCATCCCTGGATCAAACGTTCTCAAACTCATCAGCAACAACAGTGAAATCATTGAATTAATCACGAACGAAAGTCAAGTCCACCTCACGAGAGTCGTTGCTAGATTTGCCACTACGTGTGTTAACAACAGCAAGAAATTCGTCGACTCTCTGGCCAGTACATGAATATTAAACATCACTGTACCAGCGCTGTTTCTTTTCGCGCAACAATGAGTGCAGAGTGACCTGGCTCAAGCATTACAGCATTACCAAGGCGACTGTAAACAAAATATTTATTGTCAAAATCTTTATTTTTCACTTTGGTTTAAGTTATATAATATAATAAATTTAAATCATATGATATTGTTATTATCTTAACAGTTACTATTGTAACTAAAGATTTTAAATTTGTATTCCTTGTATTGTATTCCTTGTATTCCTTGTATTCCTTGTATTCCTTGTATTCCTTGTATTCCTTGTATATTATATATACTAGCAGGAACCCGTATAACCCTAAAATGGTGTCAAGACTCAAGAGACTTAAATAATTATTACCTATTTAATTCGCGTTTTTGACACCACTTGGTGGTCCAAATTTTCGGCTCTAAAACTCCTATTTCTTGGCCAATTTTTTATTTTTTCATGCTGATTTGGAGGCCATTAAAGCATTTGACCCAGTCAAAAAAGTTTCAGTTGTATATCTTTTACGATTTCTGCGGAAATTCGCGTTAAAGTTGATGCCGTGGTGTCAGTAAAATGGCACGGATAAATATATATATATATATCGTCTCGCTTTATATATAGTAAGCAGCAATAGCAGCAAATCTGGGGAAACTTTGAAATACACCACTTTGAAGCATTTAACCACCCCTTAAAAATCACAGAATATGAATTCTAGTAATCTGAATATTTACATAGGTTCAAAAATGTCATAGCTTTATGATAGTGCAACGAAAAAAATCTCAGAACATTTTGGTGCTGAGTTAGGTGGTTAAGTAGTCGAAAAATGACTGATTTGTTAGTGGACATTTTTTATACCTCTTACACCCAAACCCTTACTACAGTGAAGATATGAGTAGTACAGTTAAAATTGATGGTCATTATTAAACAAAAATGGTTCATTGACACATAGTTGAAGAAGGAAATAAAAAAAATTAATAAATGTGGTCTGTGGAGTGGTTTATTTATTTATGTTATAGTGTACGCGTGCGCGCGCGCTTGCGCGTACTTAACCATCTGTAGGCCAACATATTTAGTCTATGCTTAAATTCTTTATATATTATGTCACCACTATGGTGCCCAATACTTTTAGTGAAGGTCTGATGTAGAACAGTTAACCACCAACTGTGGTATATCAAAAAAACCATGTTTGTACGCGTGCGCGCGCGCTTGCGCGTACTTAACCACCTGGTATGGCACAGCATTGAAATATCACTATAATTTCAGAGGCAGAGGACACCATCCAGGTGCCCAAAACTTTTGGCTATGGTCCCAATACCATAATACCTTAGATGTGGCCTCAATGTGGTTAAAACATGTTTATTTTGGACTTTCGGTCAACAGAAGCAATCACAAATTAACCATTATTCAGCAACCTCCGAACTTTTTGTGCCTTATTTTGTTTTGATATTTGATTATGAGAGATAGCTGAAGGATAATAAGTGATTTTAAAGATAATGCAACAGAATGTGTGGCCATATGGCGGTTAAAACGACCAAAAACACTGATTTAGGTCAATTTTAGACCTTTATTAACCATGCTGGACACAACAAAGGACTCAGCAATGTTTTTGTGCACATAGATGAGCTGGTAGTTATATCTAGATAATGCAGCATGGCCAGCTATAGCTTTACAAAGCTAATATGTGCTCTAAAAATGGTTAATTAGAGCAAATATAGGGTATTTTCGAGACATTTTAACCACCATAGCTGCACATTGATCATAATGCATGAACTTGGGGTCAATTATGGATTTGCAAACAATTATACACTCAATTGGATAGCAAACCATTATCCGAACTTCATATTGTGGTTAATTTTCACTTTAATAGATGCCTTGTTCAACAGCCTAGCAAGTCATATAGCCCTTTTAACCACTTTTATGACAACATTTCTTGATAACTTTTATCAAAACCCTTCAAATGTCCTTTGTTGACCAGAAAAAGTTGACTAAAAGCATTAATATTGTTTTGATTGGTGGTTAACAAAATATTTTGACGTTTTAACCATCTTTTTAGCACTTTTTACGAATATTAACCACCTAAAATTAACCGTACTATTAAATTGCACATTTGTGATGAAAAATTATCATCCATGTACAAATGAGCAACCACCACTATACATCTATAACCAGAGCAATATTTATTGCTCATCGTTCATCTTCCATTTAACCACCATTAGGACCACAAAATGCCCCCAATGAGGGTTTTAAACTTTTGTAATAGTTGCACCATGGGATGATCTCAATATAATGACTACTCATTTCATAATATCATATCTCAAAATGGTGGTTAACCCTAAAACTGGTATTTTAACCACCATAGTGGCCACATAGAGGATTCATTAACCTCAATTATTCAACATAACTGTACTGCAGTGTTTTGTGCACCAGAAAAACATCACTCCAACATTGAGATTAACCACAATAAGCTGCAATATCATTTTGAAGTCAACATACACAAATTTTGTGAAAAAAGTCAATGTCCACCAAGTTTCCCCAGATTTGCTGCTATTGCTGTAAGATGTCTATAAATTCAAGCGGGAAGAAGCTTGAACATGTTTATAGATTGCATTACTCTCGGTCACATAAAATAATCTGCATTTCTTTCAAATAATAAACCAGGTCAATGAAAGCTTTAACAGAGTTTAGAAACACATTTACAAAGCTGTGCGTACTTAGCTGGATATTAATCGTATTCATGAACTATTCAAGTCGCATAATGATATTACCGATGCCAACAATTCCATATTAAAATTCACCATTCATCGAAATTAATCGGGAAATGTTGAATATTTCGCAACCTAAGCTGGGCTTGAAAGGAATTGTGAAAGATGCTTAACTTTGAGTTTGAACACCTTGAACTGATATCAGAACTCGACCGTCCCTCTCAACTTTCAAGATGATCCTGCTTTTGGTGCTGGTTACGGCATCTTCAGTCTCCGCGTCAACAGTCAACACAGCAAACACACTGAAGATCTGCTGGCAAAATACCAAGATGCTTGAGAAGCTGGAACTACAGCGGAACAGCCCGACTAACAAACATTGTCTGTTCTACCGGCCGATGAGAACGACCACAGAACTGAGGAACGAGATACAGGACACACTGGTGGAGATACGACATGCTATGAGGACTCTATCTAACATGGCAGGGATCAAACAGAGAGGATATCTTAGCAGGATAGAGATCTGCCTTAATGAACTAGACTTGGGAGTGAATGAGGCAAAGCCGACCAGAAATGGAGATCCAAGTGAAGTCACAAGTCACAAGACTGAACTGGCCACATCATGTGACCTATTGGGTAACGTGACAAAACTTAGAATCTTGTTGGAGATGTTCCTGTCTCATGATAAACTCTGCTGAGTAACTTGAGTCTAGGTTAGTTTTCAAAATTTTAAGCGTATTGAACGGACAAATTTAAGTTGCATATATCATGTATATTTTTTGCTGCTTTTTGTCATTTGGGCACCATTTTGGTGAACTTAAGTTCATACTTCTCTCAATAAAATTGTCATTAAGATTATAGTATCATGCTATTACAACTATGTGAATAAAACATTTATGCCATAACAACAAACTCGTATTCTTGTTAATCTAACAATCACCTAAATAAAAAGAAAAGCAAACCAAACAATAAAGAAAAATAAAACACCATACCTCTCAGCGATATCGAAGAGTTCACTCAGTATGGTAGGGCGTATATCCTCATCCTCTATCTCCCTAGTATACACGTACTCCATGAACTTATCCGCAGCTTCAGGGCCTATCTCCAGTTTAACCAGGGAGCTATCGTCCGGGATCTGGGGGCCGGAGCAAGCGAGGAGGGCAGGGCAGGACGCGTTGAGGATGACGCGGTGCGCGCGTTTCTCTGTCCAGTCGGTGCAGAGCAGTGTGACGTCAGAGGAGGGTGTGTCAGCGAGGAGACGGCGCATCATGGCTGCTAAACCGTGCTCTCCTGAGAGAGGTGGGAGTCTGTAAGGGTATCTTATGTGATTGTGTAGTGAGGCAAGCACTTTGCCGTATCTGACAAATCAATTGATTAGCAATTATACACAATAACAAGTATCCTAACATTTAATCGTTAATTTTATTTCTATATCACATTCTTTTTTTTTTCCAAAAAATTCCAGTACATTTGTGCAGAAAGTTGGAGATTACAAATTTTGGAAGCATGTAGGGATAGAGACCTAATATCGATCGTAAATACTAAAGACCCTAGCACAATTGTAACTGCAGTTTTACAGAACTCTAAATGCTTAATGAACAGACTTGCGGGTACCACCCGTATTCAGTCATTTTCCGATAAGAGATTGGGGACGGGTTCTATAAACAAGCAAACAAACAACAGACACAAGTATCCGCCACTCGCATTTCAGCAGTTCCGAAATTTAATTAGACTCTGGGTAGCCAGCCAATAGCTATTTATATTTGGCACGTGACCGTTACTGTAAGACAACTCCAAATATTGCAGGCTTGCTCGAGTTCAACTCTAAGTTGCTCGAGTTAGAGTCTCTAAGCAAAGGCTCTAATAAATTAAACGTACCGTCAGCTTGTGTTGGTACAGAGCGTGTGTCGATGTGACTTATGTCACACGCCACGTTGCGAGTCCGGACTATGTCGGTGTTGGTTCCTTTTGCTCGGGTTGTGACGTCAGTTCCCGCTGCTATGTTTCTAGTTTCTTTATCTACCTGTATCTGCAGGGAAAGTGATATCAAAATTTGGTAATTTTCTAATTTGCTCAATTAGAGAATGATCGGTTATAACTTATGTCAAGATAAAATTGTGAATGCTTTTGAACAAGTTGCAAAGATTGGTATGAAGCAGCAAAGTAGTTGCAGCTCACGTTCTTGTGCGACTGGGGAGCAGGAACTGTCAGGACATTACAATCCCGGGTAGTGGAGGAACAGTGCTTGGGCCTGATGGAGGTGAACGGTTAGACAGAAAAAGTGATCTTCCAATAAAACTGGTCATGTTGCAGACTTTTCAAATAAACCCTTAACAAAGCCTTAGTTTCTCACCGGTATATGGGTGAAATCCTGTTTTCCTCTGGTATCTGAACTGAGACAGATTTTTTAACCTTCCTCTCCTCTTTGACCACATCAACCTCATTCAGTCCGGAGTCAGTGATCGGAGACACGTTAAGAAGGGACCTATCAGGAGACCTATCAAACTCTCTCCGCTCCATACCTGCGAGTTTTCCTCGTGAAACACAAACCAAGTATAGACCGCTCATGATAAATAAAGCGGCACTTAATCAACACATTCAATCACTTCAAAAATTAAATAATCAAAAATGCATGGAAATTGTTCGCAAAACCTACCATTCCCTTCCCCGAACAAGTCCAAATTGGAGTCCTCTTGAACTGAGCAATGATCTGGTAAAATGGACTCAGCATCTCTTAAAGATACAATCTCTGACGTGTCCCTTGCTGGTGTCCTGATGTGTAAGCTCTCCCCAACTGCTGATATGTCTGAAGGGTTGGGTGATCTGTCTGTTAAAATGTTGGGCACCGTTTCGCATCTGTGAATGATTTCCTCCTCTGATTTGGGTCCGGGATCACTTTTGCTGCGATTTATAGGGGCAGGCGAGCTTTCTGTTTTAGAGCCACAAGATTGCCCATTTTTATTCTCAATTTCTTCATTTTCTTCTTCTGATTCCTCAGTTTCATCTGAATCAGTCCTTGATTTTTCTGGGCAGCTAAGGGAAGAATTTGATCTCTTTTTGAAAGAATTCTTAATCTGAATTGTTCTCACTTCTGGGCACACATATTCAGCCATCTTTGTAAAACTTTCTGTCACCAAAGAGTTCACATCTGATCCTTGACTTAAACTTGCTGAATCAGTTCTCAGTTTAGTGGGACTGAGCATTATGTTGCTCAACGTTTCTTTCATTGAATCGTTCTTCCCAAGATCCGTCAGAAACTGGGTTAACTGGGTTATGTCAGCTTGGGAAGGGAGAGAAGATTTCTCCATACAAATAGGATCGTCGGGAACAGAGGCCGGTAAGGGTTGGACGATATCTTCAGATTTCTGGGTGTTTATGAGTGAGTTCTCGTGTTTCAACACATTGGGGACTGTTGTAGTTGCGGAGCCTGCTACGTTCCAAATCGAGTTCCGTTTAGAACGGTATGTCGTGAGTTTACTGACTTTTAGAGCTGGTGTGGCGGGTACTTCATCCTTAGAATCCTGAGGAGAGGGGTATGTTTAACACTTTTAAACGTAGCTATCTTACATTAGCCGATTGGAATACGAGACCTTTGGGTGAAGATTTGTATCTGTTTCAAAAGCATAAATTACGTATTGTAGGGATGTATGTGGAAATGTAATGTAGTAGAAAATTATAATACTGCTACATATAAACAAAAGCTCTAAGAAACAGATAGTAAACATTTCTGTCCCCTAATCTTTCTCAAACAAAAGTCATGCAATTTGCATACTTCTCCATTTAACTCTATACTGAGCAATTAACGTTAAATAGTTCAAATCACATAAATTATTTAACGATAATTTTCGGACACTAAGGTCGTGTAGAATCAGTGAGAAAAGGTTTGACTGCGGTCTTCCACGCCGCCCTTGAAGCTGTAGGGTGTTGACAGCAAAAACAAGCGACGAATAGGCAGGGCCATCTGTAGGCCCACGCAGTACATGTCCGAGCATCCTCCACCGACTACGAGCCACTTTAGCTGACAATGGTTCGCTATTGCAGCGTTTATACAAGTTCTTGTTGGAGATGATGTGAGGGTATTTGTAGTTCAAAATTGATCGCAGATGACGTCTGTGAGCAATATCTAGTTTTTCCAATACTGATTTAGGGGCAGCCCAGCAAGATGAATTGTACATTAAAACGGATACTACCAGAGCCTCATACAACAGAAGCCTCTTGCTCAGAGGGATCTTATGGTTCCAAGCTTTCTTGTATTTGTTAAACGCGGCATATCCCAGACATATCCTTCTAGAGATGTCCTCCTTACTACAAAGCATGGAGCCAAGCGTGATACTCTTTCTCCAGAGCTCGTTCCCTGCAATTGGCTTACCCTGATCGTCTTTAGCTCCCTTTTCAGCTAAGTACACATGAGTGAAATCAGTTTTGTCTTCGTTAACGAAGAGATTCCAATCTTTAAGGACTTCTGTTGCAATAGGCAACAGCTCCCTCAGATTGTCTTCATCTTCATCATTGAAGTCGATATCATCAGCATACTCACTGTCAAGTGGAAGACCAATATCGGTGATAGGTGGGTTAGGCCTATTCGTTGCAGTTTCAAGCCTGTTACGGAGGTCACGCAAGGCACCCGCTAAGACAAGTGTGAACAAGCATCCAGACAGACAGTCACCTTGGAATGCACCGAGAAAACTCTGGAATTCAGCAGACAGTGTACCGTTGATGTTGACTTTGAGCTTGGTGTTGGAAAGCAAAAGTCTTACCAAACGGACTTCGTCATCATCACAGCCACACTCAACAAGAAGATCGAGGATGGTAGATCGTCGTATAGTGTCAAAGGCACTAGACATGTCGATCCCCATGCGATGGTATTCCCACCTCTTCCTCTGAACAACTGATAACATCACACGCTGGCACCATACAATGTCAGCACATGATCTACCCTGCTTGTAAGCACATTGCCATGGACCAGTGAAGGCATTGACTTTATTCTCAATTCTCTTCAAGGTTGCCATTGAAAGAATCTTTCTAACAGCATTTGAGAGAGTGAGGGGTCGTAGATTCTTCACTGGACCAATGGGCTTATTTGGCTTCTGTAAGGGGGTAATGTTTGCCTGTCCAATGGGGTCAAGGTAGGAATTGGTCTCGAAGCTTCTATTGATAATGTCTGCAAAACGTCTGTGTACTGATCCAGTAGAATACTTGAGAAGCTCATTAGGAATCCCATCTGGGCCGTTAGCTCGACCATTTTTGAGACTTCTAGCAGCTGATCCGATTTCTTCACTAGTGAATGGCTTAACTAGTGGGCGAGGAGGTCCTACAAAAGGTTCTAAAGGTGCTTCATCACGAGTAAGTTGTTGCTCAAGGTACTTAGCAACTACGGCAGCTTTACCAGTGTCTGTTGCGATATTGCACCCTTGCTCGTCATGAACACCAATACTAGAAGGGGCTTTACTTTTAGGTAAGTTCAGGGTTCGAACAGCTTCAAACATTTTCTTACTATCTGTTGTTGAACTGATGGTATTACAGATAGCATCAGCAGCAGCTGATCGTATGTTAGAAAGTCTCTGCTTGATCTGATTGGTGAGGCAGTTAATAGATGATCTAAGTGAGGTTCTGTCTAAAGACTGGTTATCATTAAGCTGCTGTCTCAACAAGTAACGCTGGCTAGATAAGTTTTTCACCTCATCATCGTCGCTGCGATTACGTTTCCTGTGTCTGATGACACCAATTGACGATTTTGCAGCATCCTTTATGGACTCAAGTAAGCCATTCAAGTCTTAATTTGGATCCAGAGCAGAAACAGTGTTACTTAAGTTATCATCTAAGGATTGACGATATTTCACCTGAATGGTGGGGTTCGAGGTGAGTTCAGAGGTGTTGAACTTTAAGGATGACTTGGAGTGGCGTTTATAGCAAAGACAGATGTCCTTAAAATCTACTCTAGTGACAACAAATCTGTGATCAGAGTATGTCAAGGTGCCTGCATAAGATCTAGAATCTTGTAGCATTGGCTTTGACCTACTTCGACACAGGATGAAATCGATCTGAGAATAGACCGGGATCGTCTTTTTACTATTTCGCCCGGCACTCCAGTCCTTCCTCCAGCCAGTGTAGGTGGTCGTATGTCGGGCAGGATGATAAAAACCAGTGTTGGAGGCAAAGAGGTCAAATTCTGATAACAAGTCTAACAAGTTTTCTCCCATATCGTTGCGCAAACCCATACCATGTTTACCCATGAAACGACCAAAACCAAAGTCCTTATCTGAAGCAGTCATTTTTCCCAACTTTGAATTTAAATCTCCCAAAACAAATATCTCAACATTAGCAGGGACGTTTAGAGCGTCCCTAACTTGGCCGTAAAAATTAATCAACAGTTGTTGATCATTTTCTGCAAGTTTCTTGTGTGGCCCATATACATTGACCACCCTACATTTGATAAATTTTCCAGATTTTGTAGGGAGTTCTAGGTCCAAAAAGCTTACTCGATCACTGATACTGTTCCAGCATACCACATAGTCAATAAATCGGGGACTGATAACAAAACCGAGTCCATAGTGCCGGCCATTTTTCTGCTCAAACAATAATAGTTTGTATCCGTTGCTAAGACTGCAAGAATCCGGTTTTACAACCTTAGTCTCCTGAATAGCGCAGATATCTATGCCGTACCGTAGACAATCGGTACCCAGTTGCTCCCGTTTGCTGTGGATGTCGTCTGGATCATCACAAGAACCGAGGCCACGTATGTTAAAGGTGGCGAAGCTGATGAGGAGTGTAGCAAACAGGGATCGTCCTGCAGCTGAGGTAAACATTACGGAGGGCGATGTTGTCGTCTCTCCGCCGCTGGCGTTACCCATACGGTCCATCTACTACAATACTGCTACAGCTCAGTTTTAAATTTTTCATATCCTATTAACACAAGAATAAAGGGTGAAAATTGTAAGATGAGGTCCAATCAAAAAAGAAAGCAACGTAATTTCTTTTTACTTTTCAGTCATATTGCTGCGCGCAAATCTAATAAATATATTGGAAAGGGCGCGCTTGCGCTTAAAACATCAAATTTTGAAGTATGCGTATTCCAAAATTTTCTAAGCAGAAGACGTTTCCCTGAAATGTGTATGCGATTTTGTATGCGATTTGCGCGCCGCACGTACGTTAAAATAATTATATTTGTAGAATTTATGACGGTAACCCTTCAAAAGTCAAAATAAACTGCTCGTATATTTATAGACACTATGATATGAATAACTAAATAACACCTTGAACCCAACTTGGAACCACATCCAAGGGCCGCACCGACCCCAGAAAAGCTATAATTCAAGTCAAAAATCTTTACTCGGCCCTGTATGTGATTTGTGTTCCGGGGTAGGTGACAGATGTTTTAGTGGTTGAATAGCTAGTACCTATCCCAAACCATCATAAAAACCAAGTTTTGTTCTCTCAACCCACTCAGGCCACTCCCAGGAGCCACGCCCATCCCAAAATAGCTGAAATCCAGCTAAAATCCAGACTTTAAAATCTTTACCCCCGTATGCGATTTATGTTCCGGAGTAGGTGGCCCATGTTCTAGTATAAAAATGGGTACTGCCTATCCCAAACCATCATAAAAACCAAGTTTCGACCTCTCAACCCACTCAGGCCACTCCCAGGGGCCACGCCCATCCCAAAATTACTGAAATCCAGCTAAAATCCAGACTTTAAAATCTTTACCCCCGTATGCGATTTATGTTCCGGGGTAGGTGGCCCATGTTTTAGTATAAAAATGGGTACTACCTATCCCAAACCATAAAAAAAAACCAAGTTTCGACCTCTCAAACCACTCAGGCCACTCCCAGGAGCCACGCCCATCCCAAAATTACTGAAATCCAGCTAAAATCCAGACTTTAAAATCTTTACCCCCGTATGCGATTTATGTTCCGGGGTAGGTGGCCCATGTTTTAGTATAAAAATGGGTACTGCCTATCCCAAACCATCATAAAAACCAAGTTTCGACCTCTCAACCCACTCAGGCCACTCCCAGGGGCCACGCCCATCCCAAAATTACTGAAATCCAGCTAAAATCCAGACTTTAAAATCTTTACACCACTCAGGCCACTCCCAAGGGCCGCACCCATCCCAAAATTACTGAAATCCAGCTAAAATCCAGACTTTAAAATCTTTACCCCCGTATGCGATTTATGTTCCGGGGTAGGTGGCCCATGTTTTGGTATAAAAATGGGTACTACCTATCCCAAACCATCATAAAAACCAAGTTTCGACCTCTCAAACCACTCAGGCCACTCCCAGGAGCCACGCCCATCCCAAAATAGATGAAATCCAGCTGAAATCCCATACAAATTCAGACTGAGAATCTTTACCCCCGTATGCGATTTATGTTCCGGGGTAGGTGGCCCATGATCTAGTATAAAAATGGGTACTGCCTATCCCAAACCATCATAAAAACCAAGTTTCGACCTCTCAAACCACTTAGGCCACTCCCAGGAGCCACGCCCATCCCAAAATAGCTCAAATCCAGCTCAAATCCCAT